GGTATGACTTGTGTGTGATATTTTCCCCTTGGTTTTTGTATTTGCAGGTATTCTCAGATCTTGCTTACAATTTTAAAAGATCTGCTTTAATTATCTAATTATTACAATACGGTGATGAACTGGAGTAGCATTTCAAGTGTAATTGATAGGATTTGGCTAGCGTAACCAGTATTGCAGAAAACAGAGGAGAGGCAGATAGGTACTAGTATTGTTCCTGTCTTCCTGCATACTTCTCCTTCATATCCCTGAGCCATGCGGCTTGTTATTCTGCCACAATCTGCTATTGCCAGAACATCCCTGACAACAGAACTATGATAACTGCTGCAAAATTTTCTCCTCAACTTCCCAAGTGTTCAGTCATGAACAAAACAAGAAAGCCAGAAAATGTGAAAGGTACTGAGAGTCCAGTGCCTACAGCTGGTTTCAGCAATTGCAGCTTGCGTAAGACCCCGTGTTTGTGAAAGAAACCCAGGAATCTTTGAACAGGATGTAATCAACCTCCGATCTGCTGAGAAACACTGCAAAAATGACTTCAGCTGCCAAAAATAATAATGTCGTTTACAAGCAGCTTCTCCTATGTCTAAGGAAGAACTAGCCACCCAGGAGTGCGTGCTGGCTTTGGAGGAGCGAGAGAAGAAAAAGGGGCAAATTCTACCTCCCCCCCCACTTTCAAATACACACTATCAGAACCCACTGGAAGCTGTGGCCCATTCCAGAGGTGCTGGCAACATCGAGGGACATTCATATCCACAAAAATTCTGAACGGTAAGTGACCCTGGACACCGGGATTATATTTGGCAACAATTCTGTGCTGTCACTTTCCCTTTGTAACCAGGCTGCCCTGTCTCATGTTAAATTCCTTAGTCACGAACCCCAACCCAAATCTTTCCTCCTTTCTTTTTCTGCACCCGGCCCTCCTCCCCACCCCACCCCCAAATATATATATATTATCTGGCAGCTTCCCTTAAGGGACATCAAGAGCTTAGGAGGGAATATTCACGAATGCTCCTTCACAACTTTGATATCACAAAGTCCTGCACCTACCTCTGTGGCAAGCCTGGCTGCGGGGTCCGCATGGGCTGGATGTGAAAAAAGACCCGGTGTGATGGCTTCTCCAAATTTACCAGAAAGAAGGGACCTGGGATGCTTGTCCTTTAAGTGTCTCTAAACATGGTTTGCATAGCTGGATCTCTGCTTATCTGTGCCTTTCGGCTTTCGCTTCCATACATGGATCTGCTCCCAACAGTAACGCCAAGCTGTCGAAAAGAAGCTATCTGGCAGCTCCCCCCTTCATCCAACACATGGATGATAAAAATACACAGATAGAGATCCTTCCAGCCAGGCCCGCTTCCCGCCCCACCATCCTGCCGCCGTGCCTTTTTGCAAATACCCTTCTCAGATCGACATTTCTCCTCTCCACACATTTAGAGAACTACCGGTTTCTATCTGATTCCCACAAAAGGATTTTAGGATAGGGGTTTGCTTAGCTGTATGAAAACAGAATATGATTACAGTCCCAGAATCTCCATCCTTGAAGATCAGTGATATTTTAAGTGACACATGACTATGGCCTACATTTTAAGATGGGGGAGGAGAAGAGGTGATGAATCCTGCTCTGTATAGTAGGTGAGAGGTACTCCCTCAGGGCTTGCCCAAACTCTGCTTAGCTTTCCAGGTCCTTTGTAATTTTGCTTCTCAGTTTTAAATTTTACCTTTATCTCTCTTTTTAAATTTGTTGTTACTCAGTGGAACAAGAGGTCAAAATATGGAGAGAGAGAAAGAAGGGTAATTTTCAAATAACACATTTCCATTGGTAAATTTTTTCTCAAAATCATGTTTAAACTTTTGTAGAGTTTCTCATCTTGAAGAAGGAAAAAAGAAATTTGAGGCATATGGGCACAATTCATTTTAGTGTACTGAAATAAAATTAGTTTACTTAAAAAATTTCAGAGGGAAAAAAGGGGGGACAGACAAAATAAGACTTGGGAAATAATAATTGTTACCAGGAAACAATAGGGGTTCATTATAGTATCCTTTCTACTTGGTGTATATTTTAACATTTCTATAAAATAAATAAAAGAAAGAAGAGAGAATAGTACAGAGTGGATATATAAATGGAAAGTTCGAAGAATCCTGGATTTTAGTAATCTCTGTGCAAAATCACTAGGCCAGAACAAGAAGGGGCAAGGTGTGTCTTTTCATTCAAAATATTCTGACATTCTAACTTCTTCCCTCTAAATCCAATCATATATATTCATATTCTATGTAATAATATACTTCATGTTATATAATATCTATATAATGTTATATATAATAATGCATATTATATATAACATATATATTAATAGCATTATATACAATAATATATAGGTCTTGGGGGCAGAGGATTTTATTGGCTCAAGCCTCTGTAGCCTTGTGTCCCCAGGATATCTCATCTTCACATAATCCTTATATTCAGCATCGAATATAAAGAAAGACATAACTGATTCTTTTTAAAAAATATATATTTTTATTGATTTCAGAGATGAAGGGAGGAAAGAGCGAAACACAATGATGAGAGAGAATCATTGATGGGCTGCCTCCTGCACGCCCCTACCCCCTGGGGATCGAGCCCGCAACCTGGGCATGTGTCCTTGACCAGAATCAAACCCAGGACCTTTAAGTCCACAGGCCAATGCTCTATCCACTGAGCCAATCCAGCTAGGACAATATATGATGTTTAAAAAGCAGACCAGATATAGTTCAGTGATGGACAGAACAGATGATTACCTTACCCAGAAGCATTCAATATCCTCTCTTCACTTGACTTCTTTTCTACTTTAGAAATCAGAAGCAAAAATCTGTTTCCTCAGGGTCCTTGGCAGCTGGGAATGTCCATGTAACTCAGTTTGGTCAGGCAGGTGCAACAGGAGCCCCCTGGGTGGGACTTTCTTCCTGCTAAAACCTGGCAGGCTCAGCTTGTCCTTTCACCCCTTCCACTTATTTCCTTTGGAGACAGAAACCTCGAAGCCTGAAATTGCTGCAGCTCTTTGTTGACCAGGAGGATACACGTGGAAGACGAAGGCTACGGAGCATGGCATTGGCTCTGTCACAGAGTTCTATTTTTTTCTCTGTTAATCAAGAGAACACTTGACCTTCTAAACTTAGAATTATCCTATGAGTTAATGCACATGGTATATCTTCATAAATCATAAGGGATTATATGAATGTAAGGTACTGTTTATTTAATACACAGGGTAGTTGATACACAGGACCCACAGTGACTCCACAGTTACATATAACAGAGACTAGGAGTCTGCTTTCTGTTCAAAGAAGAATCTGCAGACACTTTGACTGGCTTAATTTAAACCTGTTTGTGAATTCTACTCTGAAGTTAGGAGCAGCCAAGGTCTGAAAAGCTTGTATATTCCAAAATCCATTTGCCTGTTGTGGGTTGGCCAAATGGAGATGGCAGGCTCTTGGTAAGGTTTGCTGGGGAAGTGGGCCAGTTTCCTGCCTTACCTTGGATAATCAGCATTCGGGGCTTGGGTGATCCTACCCAGTTCTGGAAGATGCTGTGGGATGTGTGGATAGGAAAATATCTGATAAAGAGCTTCAAGGCCTCTCATGCTTCCCAAGAAAGAGGTTAAATTGGCCTCCTATGAACCCTGAGGATGCAGAAGTCAGGATTACTGTATGAACATCCATTTGCCCCACTCCATGAAAAGGATATAGTACAATGCGTCTATATCCAATACACATACACTCCACCTTTGCCTGAAGAACATATTCCATCTTTTAACATTCAGCTGAGTGTCTCTTCCTTTCTGAAGTTTTTCCTGACCTCACAACCAGGAATTCTAAAGCACATATAGCATTTTCCTTTAGTCTGTTCTTACCTGTCTGCCCTTGGCCATTAGACTGTGAGCTCCTGGAAGGCAGGGACATCGTGCTATTTGCCAACTCTGTACCGCCAGCATAGTGTCCATCCTATAGTAAGCAAACCACAAGTTTGGTGAAGAATTAAATGCATTGATAAATGAGTGTAAAATGAGTAAACAATAGTTAACTCTCAACTACTGGCTATTAGTTTAGCAACCCCCCTGCTGTGTAAGGTATAAGAATCTCAAATATCCCATGGCTTATCTGTGTAGGGATTGTCAACTCTAAGGAGACAGAAAACAGTGTTCAGAAATATTGACATCATCCTGATTTAGCCAGGAAGATTATCTAACAATTCTAGTTACCCAATTCAATGGGCCACGACATTAGCACAGACCATTTAGAGTGGACAGCTGACACCAGTTATTACTGTTAAAGAGGGGTGAGGATTGTACTTTTCAAAAAAATTGTAGATATTAAATTGGTTGTGATTTAAAAAATGTTTCTTTCTTTGTCTGATGACGTGAGGGTAATCTTTTATGAAAGACTTGTTGAGGCACACGGCAAGCTTTCAAAGGATTTGAAGACAAATGAATAGCAAAATTTCCATTCCATCTTGCAAGACTAGAAATGAGAAAAAAGGAGATTAAACATGGCTTCTACCCTTGAAGATCAGCTCAAACATCACCTTTTCTAAGTAGGTTTTCTTGACCTGTTTCCAGTACCACCATTAACATATTAATTAGTCTCAGTTGGGTTCCCTTAGCACAATATTCATTTCCTTTTTAACAACTATTTTGAGATATAAATCACATACCATACAATTTACTGAGTTAAAGTTTATAATTCAGTGGTTTTTAGTATATTCACAGATATGTGCAAAGATCACCAACTATCAACTGTAAAACATTTCTACTATTTCCTTATCCTTCCCTCCTCCCCTACCTTAAGTAATCACTAATCAAGTTTCTGTATCTATACATTACCCTATTGTGGACTTTCATACAACTGGAATAATATAATATGTGGTCTTTTGTGACTGGCTTCTTTCACTTTTTAAAGCTCATCCATTTGTAGCAGGAATCAGTATTTTCATTCCTGTTTAAGGACAAATAATACCCCATTGTGTAGATCTACCATATATTATTTATCCATTCATCCATTGATAAACATTTGGTTCCCATCTTTTTCCACCTTTCGCCTATTATAGATAATGTTGCTATAAAAATTTGTGTTTTAATTTCTCTGGGGTGTGTACCCAGGAATAGAATTGCCAATAATTCTATGTTTAATCATCTTAGAATCTGCTAGATTGTTTTCCAAAGCAGTGTCACCAATTTACATTCTCATCAGCAGTGTATGAGGATTTAATTTCTCCACATATTTGTTATCTGACTTTTTCATTCTAGTGTTTGTGAAGTGATATCTTGTTGTGGTTTTGATT